TTTTCATTAGTTTTTAAAATTAGTCCAAACCACGAAATATCAAAACGTATGTTTTTGAAATTATATGAGATTTTTCTATAGGTTTGCTTAACCACATGGGGGTTTTCTATATTTTACCTAACATTTTATTCAAAACTCAATTAAATGCAAAAATATGGAAAAACAATGGCAAATAGATGGAGAACTATAGGACTTTTATTAGTTACTACTTCTTCTGTCCTATAAAATAAGCTCAATAATCTTTGTGTTTGTCCTGAATTATAAATTTATTTATTGTAGATTTATTTGTTTAGAAAGGTAGTAGATTTATCAGTATATTTTTATGCACGCATTTAATATGCATCTTTGTCAACAATTATACTACTCTATTAATCAAATATTATAGTCGAAATAATAAATACAGCGGTAAAACTAGAATTTAATGGGATAGCATGAAGAATAGAATACAAACTAACAAATAACACGAAGAATTGAGAATTAAGAATGTCAAGTAAGACATCATTTTCTCATTGGGGGAACATATATGATTAGGAATGACAATCAGGACACGTGCTTTTGGAAAGTCATAAGGTAGCTGATGGATATGGAGGCAGGGGTGATTTTTCTCCTCCCATTTTAAACGGGATTGGAGACGAGGTAGGATATCCTTGCCCTATCCCCCGTTACTAATATATCAATAATGTATGCACACACACACATATATATTGGCTATTTTTAGCTTACTTCAATTTTTTTTCATACTGTAAGTTGTTTAAATAAATATGATGATTATAAGTTTAGGTTTGCAATTAAAAGTAGATAAATGAATTAAAAAATCAAAGTGATTTTTAACATTGATTTCACATTGAATATTTAGCCAAAATCTAAAAAAGTGATTTATAATATTGTTATTGATGTTATATATATATATATATATATATAAATAATGTCAAAATAAAAAATATAATTACACAATAACAGGAACACCCACTAAGGTATGGGGCAAGGCTGGATGGGATGGGGGGTTGAAAAAACATGAGATGGGAAGGTCAAGGGGAGATTTTAAAACACGAGACTGAAATTGGGGGTAGGATAGGGGGGAAGGATCCCCTATCCTACCCCCTGCCCCGTTTCCATCCCTGTATATGGTGTAAGAGATGGGTCCTTTCCATATTATAAGGATTAAGAGTGGCTATGGACTGTCTCAAGAAAATAAAAACAGAAAAAAAAATGGTTGTGGACCAACTAGAAGAATTGCAATGCTGATGTTTGATTTGTGTGATGTAGTTTTGAATGTTTCAATCAAAATTTAAATCCTATTTGGTAAGTGAATTTTTTAAGTGTTTGTATAAAACTTTTGTAACGGTTTACTGTAAAAATTGTAGAAAAACTTGTTGAGATTGGTAAAACTTTCTTTTTTCTTTCCACTTATTTTCTTTCTCCTCTGCCCAATCATTGCTCTTTCTCCTCACTCCCTGCTCATTGTTGACTTCTGTCAACAGCAAAGGAAAGAAGGAAATGGGAGAAAGAAAGAAAAAAGGGAGAGCGGAGAAGAGAAGATGAGAGCGAGTGAAGGAGGAGAGGTAGAGACAGGCGAGAGGAAGAAGGAAAGAAAAGAAGGTTGCTGGATGCATTGACGAAGTGCCGACCAGCGGAGGTGGTGGTTGGTTGGGTATAGGGAGGAAGAAGAAGAAATGAAATAAGGAAAATTTTTTGTGTGTTTTTAAATATTTTAAAGTGTATACGTTAAAAACTTTGAGGAGTTTTTGAAATCACTATAATTTAGGCCTTATTTCACAAATGAGATTTTTAACTGTTTGCCTAAAAAGTTTTATTGTAATTTACTGTAGAAATTGAAGGAAAAATCTTTAAATGGAAACCTTTTTCTTTTCTTTTTTTTTCTTCCTTTTTCTTTTTCTTTTTCTCTTTCTCTTTCCTTTTTCTTTTTCTTTCTTTCTTTGTTATTTTTTTTCTTCTCTTTTTTCATCTCCCTAGTCCCTTCCCTGCCACTTCTCCCTCCCCACGACTGGAAGTTGCAACAGTAGAAACAATTTTTTTAAATTTGTTGCTTTCTTCTATCTTTTTTTCTCTTCTCACTCTCCTTCTCCTCTGCCACCTCTCTTCCCCTTCCCTCTCTCCCCATCGCTGGAAGTTGCAGCAGGAGAAGCAGAAGCAAATTTTTTTTTTTGCTTTTGTCTCTCTTTCTTTCTCTTATTCCTCTCCCTCTCCTCCCCTCTCCCCTACCACCTCCCTTCTCCCCCGCCACCCTCCCCCTCTCCTTCTCCCCTGGTTGCTCGACATGATCTGATCACGCGACGGGGGGAGAATGGTGCGGGGAGGGAGAAGGAGAGGGAGAAAAGAAAAAAAAAACTGTATATTTATCGATTGTGGCTTCATGTACCAAACGTTTTTCATCCGATATTTTTGTGTGATGGATGCGAGAAATAGACTTCCATTTCCAGTCTACTATTTATATTATATTTATTTTATTGAATTAACAAAAAATGGAAACTATTTCGTTTTCTTTTTCAAAGGAGTTTTAGATTTATCTGAAGGAAAAAAAGATATAACTAACAAAGAAAATACTAAAGAAAATGAAAAAATTTAATAAAAAACTGTAATTTAAAAAATCTTTATATTTCTTTATTTTTCTCGATATCACAACCAAAGGTGTCGGTCGGTGGTGGGTGGTGGCAGAGGTGGTTGTGGGTTGAAGTGGGGGAGAAAGAAAAAGAAAGGAATAAGGGCAAATTTTTTTTTTTTGTATTTTTGGATATTTTTAAATGTATAGTTTAAAATTTTGAGAAGTTCTTTTGGGTTACTATAGCTAAAATAGCTAAAAAAACTGGTAGAAAACAAACTTGAGCAAAAATTCATTTGCCAAACAGACCCTTAAGTTGTTAAAAAACTTGACAAAAAACTCACTGGTGGTGGCAAGGTGGTTGTGGGTTGAAGTGGGGGAGAAAGAAAAAGAAAGGAATAAGGGAAATTTTTTTTTTTTTTGTATTTTTTGATATTTTGAAATGTATAGTTTAAAATTTTGAGAAGTTCTTTTGGGTTACTATAGCTAAAATAGCTAAAAAAACTGGTAGAAAACAAACTTGAGCAAAAATTCATTTGCCAAACAGACCCTTAAGTTGTTAAAAAACTTGACAAAAAACTCACTTACCAAAAATTGACAAAAATTCACTGGTGTTTAATAGTCAAAATCAAATTCTTATTAATCTACACTTAAATTTATTAGATTTATTAATAACATATCGTTGTAGATTTGACTTTGCATGGTTTGTGACCAGTTTTTGGAATTAGGATAGGAATAGTCTCCTAAATTCGACATGGTGATACTGAGAATCTTAAGAAGATACAACATGCAAATTAAAGCAAGCATATGTTAAATTATAGGTCTGTACTATAAATCATAATAAATAAAAACTTGGAAAATCTAATTAATTATTCTATTCCTTCTTCTTTTTTGTGTATTCATGTCAACATTTTCTCACATGTATTATCTTTTGCATACTTGGAACCAATATTTATATGCTTATACTCATTGTGTTAAATTTGGTCTAATATATATATATATATATTTATTTATTTATATTGTTTTGAAGTATCACAGTATTTCTCATCTACATAAATAATTGAATACTCAATTATGTATCTCTTCAAATTGGCATATATTCTGTAAAAATCAAACTTTGATCCAAAGTAGTCAAATGAAAGGCTTTCATAAAAATTTTCCAAGAATTGCGGATGAAGTTGTCATTTTGTATATGTCAAATCATGAATTAGTAACTGCATTTAATATCTTGTTTAAATCTCAATTGTGTCAAACTTTTTATTTTTGGAATAGAAATTTTAAGGAATCTCTATGAATAGGATTAACTTTTATTCCATCATGAGTTTATTTTGTATTTCAATAGGTTATGTATTATTTAACTATCAAATAAAATATATTTTTTACATAAGATTATTCAATAAAACATCAATATACATGCAGATTGAAAAAGGATACTTAAAACTTTTATTATTGGAAAATTACAATTTAGTTGGAATGAAATACAGTAAAATTTAAAAGAATTAAAAAAAAATCTCCAAAGCACTTCATATTGGCAAATACATTAACTATTTATCAAATTGCAATCCCCAATTACCAATATTTGAAGCTTATGTATACAGGTCATGCAAAAATTTGCATAGGAATAGTTTAGAAGTTGAATTAAAATTAAAATTTTGCTATTTCTACTCAAAATTTTTTTGTTTGTAGGTTATATTTTTATATTCAAATAAACTAATTTAACAAAGATGGTGCTCTTTAGCTAAAAAGAGACATGGTGTTGATATGAAATGCTTTTAACTATTTTGACAATTAGTCTATTTTTATGTATCACTAGTGGGATAAGTACTTAATCACGATTAAGAGAACTTATTCTTTAGTTTATATTTGTTGAATTGTACTTATGATCAAAAAGATTCCTAATCAACTTTTTCATAAATTGACTCTGACCATATTGATCCAAACTCTAAACATTTTATAGTGAATCGGAAACAATTTATTATGTTATAAGCATGTTGTTGTTATTCAGTGTATAACTAGAAAAATAAGTTGTTGTGGATGCGTAAATTTCAAAAATTGAAATATAACTCATGAAACATAACACATCAAGAGTTTGTTGCGTATTTTATACGGTTAATTAAAAAGCATGGATAATTTTTAAAATGTGTTTGAAATACAAGAAATATGAAAATTTTTTGAATTGAATATAATATAATAGAAGTAATTCTAACATGAATACCTTACATCTTTACTTATCATCTTTACTTATGGTTTATTCCTACGTTTGTTTGTATTTTATGGAGCTGAATGTAACACGTAATCCAGACGCATAAAAATTAGTAGTAGTAAAGTATTTTATTTACGTAGACTAGATGACATGTACCTTCGTCTCCATTTCCCGCAATCCACGTTGATGATACTCCGTTCGTTCATACTATATTATTATTATTATTATTATTATTATTACGAACGAAGGGACGATAATCATTTTAAGCAGCGACGTGTAAGTTCACCACCGAAAGTCTCTATCATCACCATCATCATTCATCTGGACAGCCACTCCCCCGCGGTGGTCCTCTCCTCCTCCAACTCTCACACAGCCATCGCCCAACTTACGCTAAAGCTCTAGCTTCCTACTGTTTTTTATCTTTATTGAGGCCGGTCCCCCAAACTCCGCCTTACTTTTGATCTTCTTCTTCTTCTCTTCTATTCAATAAAAGGACTTGGGTTATGACCTACTACGATTGGGTCTTTATTTTTTTTTTATTTAGAAATGAAGGAATCACCCTGCCCGGCTACTCTGATTCAGGCCAGTAATTTATGACCCCCCTTTTTTTTTAAGTGGATTTTTTCTTCTTCGCTCTGGGGTTGAAAGAAAACAAAAAAAGAGTAAATCTTTGGGCATGTGGGTTGCTATTAATTGGAATCATGGGTGCGTGGGCGTACTGTTTCTGGACTTCTGGGGTAGAACAGAGGCCGATTAGCTTTTGATTACAGGTACTACTTCCTCCTTCTTCTTCAACAACACAATTATTATCATCCGCTCTTCTCTCTCGGCTGCTTGCTTGTGAAGTACTACTACTACCACTGCTGCTCCTGTTGTTTGTGCAGGAGACTTGAACTGTGTCCGTCTCTGGTGTTGATTGCAAATTATTACCATTACTAATGGAGGCAAGAACGAGACTTGGACTTGGAGGCCAAGCTGAGCTTCTTACTCGTGCTGTGGGTTCTGGGGATTCGAAGGCGGCGGCCAACAAGAGGAGTAATTTGGAGTGGGATCTTAATGACTGGAAATGGGATGAGGATCTATTCCTCGCTACCCCTCTCATCAACTCTTCTACTACTAGTCCCTTGATTAATTATCATCATCAGCAAAGCAGGCACTTTTTCCCTCTTGAAACTGGAGGAGTTAATAATCATCATCATCATCGTGATGTTGCTGCTCGATCTTCCTCCAGCACCTCATCCTCATGCTCAGATGAATTCAAGAACCTTGGCGGAGGGGTGGGGGCCGGGTCAAGAAGGGAATTGGACAAGCGGAGGAGGGTTCTCGTGGTTCGTGATGACAATTTGGAGGACGAGGCCGCTCCTGCTAGTCTTGCTCTCAAGCTTAACAGTCGTGGTGGACGAGACTGCTATACCCCCGAGTGCGAGAGATATGCTTCCGGGAAGAAGACCAAGGCTGCTGCTACTGCTGCAAGCCGTGCGGTTTGCCAAGTTGAGGATTGCAAGGCCGATCTGACCAAGGCCAAGGATTACCACAGGCGCCATAAAGTTTGCGAGATGCACTCCAAAGCCAGTAGGGCTCTTGTTGCCAATGTTATGCAGCGTTTCTGCCAGCAGTGCAGTAGGTTAGTCCCTCCCTCCCTCCCTTCCTAAGGACTTTGGCGTGGCCTCTTGGTTTGAAGTCATTTTGAACTTCGAAAATGCTGCCTTGGACTCGTAATCTGTTTATATTCATTTATTTTTTCGTCGCACTCCACCTAATTCTACTTCCGGAGTTCAGCTTTCCTCTCTAATATTTCATCTAGGTGGAGGGCTCCAAAGAAATTTATACTACTAATTTATTCTAGTTTCTGTTGAAGCCCTTTCTTCAGAGTTTTGCTTGCTGGCTCTTTACAGTTATACTATAAGGCCCAATTGTTCTGCTAGATGCCAAATACTTTCAACTTGCAGGTTTCATGCACTTCAGGAGTTTGATGAAGGGAAGCGGAGTTGTCGTAGACGATTAGCTGGTCATAACAAAAGGAGGAGGAAAACGCAACCTGATCCCATGGCAAATGAAACTTCCTCGAATGATAGCCAAGCTAGTGGTTATTTGTTGATGTGCATAGTCAAGATACTCTCACACATCCACTGTGAGTTACATACACTGTTCGCCATACTTTTATATGTGACCCTTTTAGGACACTATGCCTGTGGCTTTGGAACTATTTCTTGCTTAAGCCCTCAATTTCTAATGGCTTTCGATTCCATTAAATGTAGCCGGTAAAACAAACCAAACAGATGATCAGGAATTACTGTCTCATCTTCTAAGAAGCCTTGGTGGCCATGGTGCCTTACATGGGGACAAAGACATATCTCGTCTTCTGCAGCTACCTCAAAACTTCCCGAATAATGGAGCAGAAATGGTATCTGCCCTGCTTGCTAATGGTACTCAAGGCCTGCCAATCTCCAAACACCCTGAGATGTCACAGAACATACTACACAACCGTGATGTGCAGGTTGAAGATTTGCCAACCTCATCCTCGCAGCCCACTCAAAGTTCTGTAGCTTATGTACAAGTAAATGAAAATCATGTGGAGAGGAATAAGTTGAATAATTTTGATTTGAATGATGCTTATATTGATTTGGAGGCAGCCATAGAAGATTTAGAGAGGTCACCAGTCCCTGTTGATGTAGCAACTAGTAATCTTGAATACCATTCATGGATGCGACAGAATTCTCATCAATCAAGTCCTCCTCAAACAAGTGGCAATTCAGATTCAGCTTCAGCTCCGTCGCCTTCTAGTTCCTGTGCAGATGCTCGGGTACATTGTTTTTTGCTTCAATTTAAAGTTCTATTACTTGCTTCTCTTTATAGTTTTTTTTATTGTTTGCTTCATTTTATTGTTCTGTTTGTTCAGATTTATTTTGAGAACTTCCTCTGTTGAACTGTCCTGCATAATGCTAAAGTTTCTCTTGGATGTATATGGTTGAATTCTACCATCATTGTTGACTACTCTCTGAATGAATGCCTGAACGTGTAAATGGAGGTAGAGGCAGCAAGTAGGGTATTTTAGGCTTTCCATTTTGAGAAAATATCCCTTATCACTACCCTACATTTTTATTGTACCTAAGATATGAGGAAATCGAGTCTTTTTTCAGGAGTCAACATTATTTTGCTTATTTTTATCGTAGATTGTAATGGTTGCTCATCAATGAAGGGGTTTGAATAGTGCTACTACATCAGTTTTTTTTAGTCTTTGAAATGAGACGACCTACAACTATGAAGATAGTTTTCATCTTTGTCTAGTCATGCCAGAAGATGCCCAGTGTTATGAGAGTGTATTTGACTATTTGTGAGTTGTTTGTTTTAGGAACCCAATTTCATTTCATTTTGAGCAAAGGTCTATTGTCAACAGATGACAAAGAATTAAAATCAACAAAAGAGCAGGGGAGAACTTGAAGAAGTTTATTAGATGATGATTTTCTTGCAAAGAATGAGATAAAACTGAACTATTCTTTATTTGGGTTACCTTTATTTGCTTCAAAATGTAAGTAATATAAAATTCCTGACATCATAAACAAAAAATAAGGTTATGTCCTATAGACAAGAGTGATGCATATCTTTCGCAATAATGGGAAGAGAAGGGCATTGTTTTACTACCTTGGGGAATTCTACTGCTTTTATGACTGTTATCCTTAAGCATATTATTCAAATCATACAACTGTCAGCCAAGGGTGGTTCCAAAAGATGGAGAGGGGTAAAATAATTGCTGGATGTTAAAACTGTCTACTTTTGAAATCTAGTGTTTCAGTGTCACTTGAATATATGTAATGTCTGGTTGTTAAAATCTTTGTTGGGAAGCAGAATAACCATATTAAACTTGTTACCAAGTTCAAATCTTTTTCACTCCCTTCTAATTTGAATGGTTTTTCTGTCCCTCTTTTGTATATTGCAGAGTCGGACAGATCGTATTGTTTTCAAGCTCTTTGGGAAACAACCAAGTGACTTTCCAGGTTCATTACGGGGACAGGTAAGTTTTAGAATTGATTATTCAGTTACTCGTTTACTTTCTCTCTCTGTTTCTGGTTATGAAAATGATTCGTTTACTCTTTTCTGAGTATTAACTACTTCTCTTGAACCTTTAGATTCTTGATTGGTTATCTCACAGTCCTACTGACATTGAGAGCTACATTAGGCCTGGTTGTATTGTCTTAACAATATATCTTTGTACATCTGTGTTGGCATGGGAGGAGGTATGTTCCATTCTTCACAAGACACAATTCTTCTCTACCTCAGCATATCACTCCATACAAATGTTGGACTTGCTTTGTACAGCTTTCTCATAATTTGGGCTCCAGTTTGAGTAGGCTTCTTAATGTCTCTGATGATGGCTCTTTCTGGAGAACTGGATGGATTTACGCAAGGGTGCAGAACCGAATTGTTTTTATATGCAGTGGCAAGTCCATCATTTATGCTGTTTGTTTGCTTTGCATTATACAAGGAAAAGGACATTTTTCCTCTCCTTTGAATTGGTTTATTTCAAAATCCCCTTTTTAGATGGATTATAGCATACTGCTGTGTATTGCAGGTCGTATCGTTGTAGAAACATCCTTACCTTCACAAAGCAGCTATTATGGTGCAATTGTGAGTGTCAAACCCATTGCTGTACCACCATCTGAGAGAGCTGAATTCACAATTACAGGCGTTAATCTGTCAAGGCCCTCCACAAGGTATGCAGAATATTTGGGCATAGTCATTGATGTCCTTAAAGCACATATCAACCATGATTTCCATGTTCATAATACTGTACTCCAATGGTTTCGGATTGTCTAATACTACACTATGTTGCTACTAGATATAGATTTGGTGTTGGACTAGGATTTTCATGCACAGCGTCTGCGCTGCTGCTTTTCCTCTTTGGCAGGATACTAGGTGCTCTAAGAGGAAGTTATGTGCTTTTTGAAGATAATGGGCCGTCACTTGAACATATTGACAGCTTTAAGGAGCATGATGAGCTTCAATGCTTAAATTTTGCGTGTTCTATCCCTGTAGTGACTGGAAGAGGATTCCTTGAGGTATGTTTTTGCTGCTTGTGTAACTTTCCTTGTCCCAGTATTGCGGGATATACATGCTTTGTCTAGAAATAGCAGGTGAGCAGTCTCAAGTTGGGTAATTCATAAGTCAAATGATGTAGCCCTGAAGAACTGTTCGAGTGATGATAGTTATCCTAGCCTCTGTTTCTGTATTCTTTCACCTCAAACCTTGTTGCTTTTTTTTTTTTTTTTTAATAAATTTTGGGAGCTTGGTTTTATGGGACCCTGCTATGCAAGGTAGTCATAAACCAGGCTGCTCAAACGTCTTTAGACTTTATCTTGATAAATTTGTGTGCTGCATGAGGGTGCCTTTGTTGTTTGTTACATTATGTTCATATAGGTCTCCTGTTATTTATTTAATCCAGTGAGAAAACTTAAATTCTTTTTTCCCAATTTATGTTACATTATGTTCATATAAGTCTCTTCTGTTGGTTATTTAATATAGTGAGAAAATTTAAATTCTTTTTTCCCAATTTATGATTTGGGTGCAATTCTCCTTGTTTTCCTTACTCTTGATATATTTTAACCATCCAGCTTGAAGATCTTGGCCTTAGTAGCAGCTTTTTTCCTTTTATAGTTGCTGAAAAGGATGTTTGCTCTGAGATCTGTATGCTTGAAAGTGAAATGGAATTACCTGAGACAGATTGTCTTGGTGTGAAAACCGAAAGTAGAAAATTGGCCATGGATTTTATACATGAATTTGGTTGGCTTCTCCATAGAAGTCAGTTGAAGTCTAAACTAGGGCACTCAGATCAAAATTCTCATCCTTTTGCTTTCACACGATTCAAGTGGATTATACAGTTCTCAGCAGACCATGGCTGGTGTGCTGTCGTGAAGAAACTCCTAGATCTTCTTCTTGATGGTAATATAGGTGCAAGAGAGCTCTCTGGTTGGTAGTGAAGGAAGCCCGTTGTTTAGACCTGATGCAGTGGGTCCAGCAGGGTTAACTCCTCTTCATGTCGCAGCTGGTACAGATGGGTCTGAGGATGTACTGAGTGCATTGACTAATGATCCTGGACAGGTAATCTTGCTCCTCCTCTACTGGGAAATACATTGTTTTTTGTATGGATGTCCATCATTTGTTTGAAGTAATATTAAGATTGTTGGTTTTTTATTTTTAATTTTTCTGGTTTCAAGACACAAGTCTTTCAATCTGAAGGCATTGACTAGTCAGCTGAGTTTTAGCATGCTACCTATTTGTCTTACTTAGCAATAGGATCCTGTCGGGCTCGAGCACTCACCTATCTCAATGAGCACTACTTGGTAGCGTCAATTAAAGAAATAGTACACTGATTGAACTTGGTTTTTATTTAATATTATGCGTGATGTAAAGGTGGCAGTTGAAGCATGGAAAAATGCTCGTGACAACAATGGTTTCACCCCTGAAGATTATGCTCGGCTGAGAGGACACTACTCTTACGTCCACCTGGTCCAGAGGAAGATCCACAAAAAAATTTTGGTTGGGCATGTGGCGGTTGTCGATATTCCAAACGCAGTCTCTAGTGGTAGGACGAAGCAAAATGAAGAAGAGGAGGCAAGAAAGACCAGCTTTGAAATTGCAAGGTCTGAGATAGGTTCAGCTGAGCTCCATCGTTGTAGGCTTTGTGATAGAAAATTTGTTGCTACAGGAGGTGGCAATGGTTCTCCTCTCTACAGACCGGGCATGCTCTCAATGGTAGCTATAGCTGCAGTCTGCGTTTGTGTGGCACTGCTGTTTAAAAGCTCACCTGAAGTTCTATTTGTGTTCCGCCCCTTCAGGTGGGAAATGTTGGACTACGGTTCTTGGTGAGACCCCAATACGGGCATCAGACCTGATATGGTAATAAACATATTGATCTCTTATCGGGTATTGTAGACATTGGTAAAATTGTAAAGTTATAGAGACATTGGTAATAAGCATACTGTTGCAGGTTGTTGGATAGGATACTACTACTAGTCAAAGGACTGTTGGATTTCTTGTCGTCTCAAAACACAATTTTCGGTGTTGGAAGCTCGTATGGTTTTGTCATTGGAAAGCAAAAGAGTTTGGATGATTGCTTTCTTCTACAAAGTGCTACTCTAATGAATGCTGTAGGAGTTACCTTTTTCTTCTCCCCGTTTTCGGCCTTTGAGTTTGAGCGGGGATCTGCTTGGAGATATTCTTCACACACAATAACACGGGGGGAGGAAAGGAAAGGCGGGTTTCGATCCCAACATGAAACGAATTCCTCCTCTCTTGATGATCTAGTCTTCCTCTACAGCATGGAACCATCTATATCACATATGTGAGAAGGATTCCTAACCAACCTTTGTTATTGTAATTCAGGCTTCAGCTACTTAAAGTTTCAGGTCACGTTAAGAAACCGACCGATTTCATACTGATGCTCAAAATGGACAGTCTCACTGCTGCACAAATGTGAATATAAAACCGAGAAATTTCCAAAATGATGATGAATTCTAAAAAATTTCTGCAAATGGGGCGTTTTGAGCGTAGAATTCAATTCATTAAATCAGTGGCTAGCATTATAAGTTACGCAGTGAATGAAACGAGGATTCAATCCTGTCTTCACATAACCAGCCGTAGTCGATGACAGTTTCCACATACCACACACAATAGGCAATCCTTGTGCCACACGACGACTTCTGTTCATCCGAGTAACTCCCCCTTTGATAGTAGATGTGCGGGCCAATACATCAACATCATATACTATGATGTTATGATAAATACAAAAGCAGAGAACATACTGTTGTAATATTCTCTCCTACTCAATTTTTTTTAGGGTTTAGGGGGAAAAACAAACAAACAAACAAACAGATCTCGTCATCTTCTCGAGGACCTCCTCAATCTTGAATTTCGATTCGTAAAACCTTGACTAGCATCATCTGTCAACTCCTAGAAACATCAATACATACGATCACCAATGCGTCTATCCAACTGCAGACTATTATTTCGTGCTCTTCTGCGTAACTTTTCGAGGTGGTCTGCTGCATTGTCAGAAACAAAATGTTATTTGAAAGCAAACCGACACTCAACTCAATCTACTCTTGGAAGTTGCTCTAGCAGAATAACAGCATTGCTGCTGAGTTTTCCTTTTCCTGTGATTGTGGACTCTGTTGCACCTGGTAGCATTATTAGTTGATTAAATTAGGAATTGCTGGGGCACCGGTCGATATGCATATTATATACACAGCTCAAATAAGAAGAAACACCAATAAAAAACTGTTATTCCCTCAATGTCTTAGTGAGTTCTTCATGGTTATGACAATAAGCAAAAGTTTCTATCTTGAATCTTATTTTGCCTTGCACTCTACATTTATAAGATCAGAAAAGTTTCATCCAGAAATGGCAATATGTTTGACGAGCTAATATGTTACTTACAAGTATTGCCTCCAATTATCCCCGCAACTTGTGGTTCAAAGGCATGGCAGTCATTAGTAATTACATGTGAAACACACCATCTGTGTCAAGAAGAGGCAAAGAACTCAACCATTTGCATCCCTCTCCCAGCTACTGTAATTTGATAGTAGTTCCTGATAAATAGAACATGATAAGCACCAAATGACAGATAGCAGCACCATGGTTCAAAAAATCAAGATTGCCAAAGAAATCGCCAGAGATATTTCATTCACCTGCCACAGGCTTGGGCATCAATAGCCTCAGGCTCTGGCACACTTACAATTATATGACCATGTTCAACTAATTTAAAATGCTGGTCAAGAATCCAACACCTGACGCGCTGATCAAGACCAGTGGAAAACACCCAAATTCCATCTGTCCAAACACCTGCACAAAATTGCTTATTGAACAACTTCCAAGCAGACTTATTATACACTAGTAAAGAATGTTATGCAGCACTTTTTTTTTTTTGTGCCCACCAACATTCTGCCAATCTGCACAAATGGATGCTCTACTGCAGCATGAAATAAAGTTCTGCCACAAAGAATACTGTTGTCTCCTCTTCAGTCAGAAAGCAAACAAGAATAATGTGCACATACCTTTCACAGCAGAGCAGTGAGCAGACTCAATTTTTTCAACTGAAAGAAATCTGATCAAAGAGTTCTGAATTTGACACGTGTTGCAGTATTCGACAATCTCTGGCAGAGTGCTGCTCTGTGTCTCATACGAATCCTGACAAGTCTCGGACTTGGTTTTTAATGTCAAATCAAATACAACACAATTAAGTGCTTGGTCATCACCCCCACTCAAAACATAGTACGTATATCTATTTCCAGAAATTCCCATACTTTTTTTATTTGAAACATAGAGACAATTGACCCCAGATTGATGAGCATTATACAAAACATGTAGTGGCGATACTTTACGTATTCCTCTCGGTGAGTCAAAAATTTTTTCTTCTGAAACAAAAGCACAATCCCTAACTTGAAAGTGAGCACGTGTATGTTGTTTGGAATAGGGCATTTCAGATGTTCCATATACAGCATCATTTTCCATGTTTTCCTCGGACTTTTCTGTAGTTCTAACAGAGAGAGAACCATTGTCATTCTTCCCCTTTTGAATCCGAGCACGTGTATGTTGTTCGGAATAGGGCATTTCAGACGTTCCATATACAGCATCATTTCCCATGTTTTCCTCGGACTTTTCTGTAGTTCTAACAGAGAGAGAACCATTGTCATTCTTCCCCTTTTGAATCCGACTTCCCAAAATGTGCTCATCACCAGGTTTCTTCTTCAAAACATGACTGCCTAAGCCCCGCCACCATCGTCCACCTTGGCTTCCTCTACCAGTGCGTGGCCTTCTCTGGCAATCAATGTAGTCTTTTATTTGCAGGGATGATACCTGGTGCATAAAATCTTCAACATCTTTAGTCAAATCCCAGAAGGCGATACTTCCATCAGTAGATCCACTTATTACCATATACAGACTTCCAATGAAACTGTTGTCTGCAGAAGAAAAAGTGCAAGAACAAATCATTGAAACAGCCAAAGCCACACAAGAAACAACAGTCCACTGTAGGCATTGTAAGGAAAATGAAAAAAAGAAAAGAAAAGAAACAAACAAACACACATACTCACATATAGGACAAAGAAGAAGGAAAAGTCAGAAAAACATGACATAATAAAGGTATGATGATAACTTTTGAACTCACATATCAAGTTCTAGCCACAAGTACCTCAAGTTGTATAATAGCATGAGTCAGAGCTTGATAGCATTTTCTAGTATGATAGCATAGCCAAAAAAAATTTGAATATGACAACATACAAAATTTATTATTACAAAGATAATGTAATGGCTTCTGTTCATGCAAGAACAATTTATAGTAAAATTGAACAAAAAGCATCACGAGTTCATCTTCTCAATTGCATCCCGTAAAAGAGCACTTAATGTTAACAGAAACCATCTGAACCATGCTATACTTCAAGTACAACCAACAATAAAAATAAGAAACAAGGCATTCTGGGATAAGATGATGTCAGCCAAAAGAGACTACAAGGAGGTGTTAACAGAAGCAGAGTATAAGATGTAATAATCGTTTTCTCCAACTAAGATGGGCCAAAATTAGTTCATAGTTCACTATGTGACAGTGCAATAGTTCTGACAGCATATGATCCTGAGGAAGTAGATTCAGCAGTTGGTAGCATTAGATTTTATGAAGGACAGTAGAATCGTCAGTCAATTCCTTCAAAAAATTAGCATTCATTAATAAATATAACAAATCTGTAATTCGTATGACTAGACTAAGGGGGAAAACTTTATTATGACATTTGCAGACCTAGATCCATCACAACATTGTTAACTAACAAGGAGCACTCTGACACAGCAAAAAGAAGATGGTAAGCAAAGAGACATGGAGAATGGACTGTTAAGCATGATAACAACAGGCAGATAATTGCAACTATAAGGTAATCAAAGGCCGACAAATCATGAAACTACGCTCAGCTTGAGAGAAATAATAAGAACGAATAAGGAATTCATTAATCATTTTGAAAACCTTTAGGCATCACAGCCAGGAGAACATTGCATCACCATAAATCTCAAGACCACTCTAAAAGTCTGCTGCAAATGTCATTAAACTGATATATGCTCTCCTTTTGAACAGAAGTACATTATTCATACACTCAAAAATTTTCCAACCTTGACTAGGATTTATCTCTTACTTATGATAAGATTCATCGACTAAGCAGTGAAAATTCTAAAATAAGAAAAATTTCGAACATGACAAAATCACCTAAAATATCGTTAGCCACTAGAAATTCAGGAGGACTTGAAACACATAAAATGAAGTTTCCGTTTAAAATAACTTAAAAACTATTAACTATTTCCAATAAGTAAAACAAAGACTTTGAGATAACATTTCACTGAATTTCTTGAGGATAAAAGTGATTAAAGCTGATTAGTAACACCAGCAGAAGAAGCACAAAGAAATTATACAGAAAAATCATTAGCAGATCTAGTAGCACATGTTTCAGGACATCGATCAAATCTAGAAACATGCCAACAACAACAATGAAAGAAATAGTAGATTACATATGCTGAACCTCAAATCTCTTTTATCGCTAACATAATGTATGTTGAAAAGAAAGGAAATCTTCCTTGCCATAATACTTCTACCCAAATCTACAACTCCTCTTATACAAAATTGCAAGTTGAAATCCTTTGCATAAAACTCAAAAATCCACATTCAAATTTCTTAAAAGCAGTTCAGAACAGCATGACAAGTCCAAGTGGTTGACTAACCATCAAATGGCAGATTTTTAGAGACTATGATGTGCTGCAAAGCTAAAACTGGTGACAAGGTACTTAGTATAACAACGTCGAACCTGCAATGACCATTCGCAAGAAAGAACTGCCAGGTCATGAGCACTGTTACATTTTCCCCAGAGCAATAACTAACTGCCAAAACTAGTGCATTGTGCGTTAATAGTTGAACAACAGACCATACCAAATTCGACAAGGTAATAATAGAGCTCGTAACGTAACTGTGGCATCTGAAGAAGCCACCACGACGAAACAGACAGAAATCCTGAAACATTACAAAAAAGAGAAATACAACCATACTCCTCAATAAGAAATGAAAGTTCTAGTTAAGATACAACTTCTGAGCCAACTAACCTGGAGTCAGCAACTTTAACAAGAAATGCTGTAACTGCAA